CCCCATCCCAACCCCTTCTGGTGTGGGACCATTGGGTGGGCTATTAGTGGGGTTTGACTGGGAGGAGGAGACCCATCAGGCACTGGGGTGGCATCAGTGCTTGTCTTGGGGCCCTGGGAGAGGGGACTTCCCACCACAGAACTCACCAGGGTGAGCCCCAGGACTCCCATCTCCCCTAGATTGTTGGAGGGGAGGGCTCCACTGATGGAACTTCCATTGGGTTGGCCTCAGCCTCGGCACCCCTGGTCTCAGGGGATAGGCCCTGACCAGTGGAGTGAGGGGCTTCCTGCATGGGCTTCTGTTCAGCAGTGTCCAGCAGCTCTGAAGCCTCCTTTACTGGGATAACCCATTTAATCTTCCTGGGGGGTGGGGTGTCAGGCACAGCTGGGGAGGCAAACAGAAGCTGAACAATTCCTCCCCATGTGATGGTCTTGGGAGGGTGGAGGGCAGGGGTGTCCTCTACATCAGAGGGCTCCAGCTATGCCCAGGCCTTTCTCTTGGCTTTGCATTTGGAGGGGACCTGCACCCACTCTGCCATGGGGTGGTCCTCAGGTGGACAGGCTCCAGTAGGAGAAGGTGAGGGTTGGGGTGGTGGGGCAGTTACAGCGGGGACACGGCTGGGGATGGGGGGGTTCCATTCCCCCTCTTCCCCTGGCTGCTGCCCCCCTCCCTGGGACTCTGCCAAACTTGGTTGGGGGCCAGGGTCCCCTGAGATCATGCGGGGGGCTGTTAGTTGTGGCTGGGGTTCCAGGGGGGCCCTGAGTGGGGAGCGGTGCTCTTGCCAGTGGGACCTACAGATGCCCTCCCTGCCTGGCCCATGGGGCACTCATGATGCAAGTGCCCCAGGATGTGGCACTGGAAGCTTTGCAGTCCCCCAGCATATAGAAAATTGACACCAGAGCCCCCTGAAAAGGAATCACAAGGAAGGCACCCCTCAACCTCCAGCTGCACTCCTGCCGCCAGCTGGATCATAATTTGGCAATGGAAGGAGAGCACGTGGTGGAGCCTGGGGTCTTGGCACCCCAGCGAGAGGGCCACCATGTGGGAGATAACTCTCCCTAGGGTTTGGAGCTGAGGACCACCCTGGTCCCCAGCTGTTCTAGGGGCTCAAGGGGGATGTACTTGCCACTTGTACGTGGGAATGGAGGCAGCAACAGTAGCAGCATCCCAGGGCAGAAAGGGGTGTGGACAACTTATCCCCAAAAGCTCTGAGAACAAGCCAGCAGTAAGCAGTAGCCAGAGGCAGGAAGAGGCCTGGCCATATTCTCTCCAGAAGCTTGAGACCAAGGTTGCAGCAAGCAGCAGCAGCAACAGCCTGGGATAGAAAGGGGCATAGCCAACTTCCTCCCAGAGGCTCCTCCCTGAGAAGCTCCTGAGGGCAAGTAGGCCTGAGCTGCTCGCCAGGGCAGGTTTTTATATTGCTGGGCTCTAGGTTCTAGCCCCCCCTGGCTGAAGTTCCTGGAGGAGCCAGGCAGGGTCAGTTTGCCCCAAGTGGCACAATTTGTCCCACACCAAAGTGCATGTTCAGACACATGCACTGAGGCAAAAATCTCCTGCATAAATTTGTGCCACTCCTATTTGAGCTGCTTCAAGCGCACATGCCTGCGTGTGTGGACATGCCCACAGTGGAGCCCAGGACTCCTCTTCCATATTAATACCCTAACCACTAAGTTTTAAAGACATGCTTGATTTTTTTCCCTTTCTATGTAGCCTACTTAATCTTTAATACAGTAAAACCTGTTTGAGACAAAACCTGGAAAAACTGGAAACTTGCTGAAGCCACAACATTTCTATAGTTCCAGCATGAGAATTATGTATATGAGCTCTGTATAAGCTGGAAACTAATGAGGAAGTGGAAAGGAAACTTAGGGTCCATTTGTAGACTCATCCTATAGATCATAGCAAGTAATTATAGTATGTGTGTGTGTATGAAAGAGAAAGAGAGAGACTACCATCCTGTCAGCTCAGTGATCTACTTGGTCTTACTTCTGTTTTTGTGTTGAATGGGGGAGAGTTAATGTGGTAGCCATAAACACTGTCACCAATGGCAACAGCAGAGATAAGATTTTCCCCTGTTCAGCAATCTCTACATATTTAGTTCCCAGTACCAAAATTCCCATTTATATCTCCGCCTGTCAAATGTATTAATGTTTAAAACAGATCTTTTTCTCAGTCCTGTGCAGTTCCGTCTTAGACAGGTTTCACGGTATTTGTCTTTCTGCACATAGGAATGGCTTCAGCAGGCGTATTGGAGTAATAACACTCTTGTCTTGAGGTTAGGGCATTCTTAACTCACTAAGAAATGGGAGCAGAAGGTTTCAGGCAGAGAAAGGAAATCAAAATCAAAGTGGTCGTACTCAGAGGGTGGTGGTGGATGGGTCATATTCGACCTGGGAGGAAGTGGGCAGCGGAGTCCCCTAGGGCTCGGTCCTTGAGCACGCACTGTTCAATTTCTTTATCAGCGATTTGGACGACGGGGTGAAAAGCAACCTGTTCAAATTTGCTGATGATACCAAAATTTGGGGTGAGGTTGGCACGTCAGTAGGGAGGGAAAGACTGCAGAAAGACCTGGATAGGTTGCAAGGGTGGGCTAACAAAAACAGGATGCGTTTCAATACGGACAAGTGCAGGGTGCTGCACTTGGTCAGTAGTAACCGGCAACACACTTATAAGATGGGAAACTCCCTTCTTGAGAGCATGGAGGCAGAAAGGGATCTTGGAGTCATCATTGACTCCAAGATGAACATGGGCTGACAATTCGAGGTCACGGTCGGCAGGGCTAACCAGACCCTATCGTGCATCCACAGGTGCATCTCAAGTAGGGCCAAGGAGATGATCCTCCCCCTCTACGCGACACTGGTCAGGCCACAGCTGGAGTACTGTGTCCAGTTCTGGGCACCCCACTTCAAGAGGGATGTGGACAACATTGAGAGGGTCCAGAGGAGGGCCACCCGCATGATCCGGGGACAGCAGGGCAGACCCTACAGTGAGAGGCTATGAGACCTGAACCTCTTCAGCCTTCACAAGAGAAGGCTGAGGGGGAATCTTGTGATCGTCTATAAACTCACTAGTGGGGACCAGAAGGGTTTGGGGGAGACCTTGTTTCCCCTAGCGCCCCCTGGGATAACAAGGAATAAGGGCCACAAGTTGTTGGAGAGTAGGTTTAGATTAGACATCTGTAGGAACTACTTCACAGTTAAGGCGGCTAGGATCTGGAACCAACTTCCAAGGGAAGTGGTGCTGGCTCCTACCCTGGGGGTCTTTAAGAAGCAGCTCGATGCCTACCTGGCTGGGGTCACTTGAGCCCAGTTTCCCTCCTGCCCCGGCAGGGGGTTGGATTTGAAGATCTACAAGGTCCCTTCCGACCCTACTTCTATGATTCTATGATTATGATTCTATGGTCTCTTACTTCATGATTAAATGCTCTAATTACTAAGCTACTGTATAAAAGGAGGAGCAACTCCTCCTTTGGCAATACAGCTACTCCTCACTTAATGTCCTAGTTACGTTCTTGAAAAATATGACTTTAAGTGAAATGATGTTAAGCAAATCCAATTATGTCACAGTAGTTACTAGCAGGTGGTGGCCAAACATTATAACTGAAAATTGAGCGACTTTAAATGAATATGTTCTCTAATAGATCAGAGATGTAATAATGAAACAACATTAACCGGGACGACTTTAAGTGAGGAGTACCTGTATTTTAAAAGATATGGCAGCTGCCATTGCTTTTGAGAGGTACCTGATCTTGGTGGTATATGTTAGATATGCTCTGTGAAGACCTGCTGGATCAAGTCCCTGAAGAGACCTGGGTACCGAAAGACCTAGTTTCTGGATCCTGAATGGGCTTTGCTATAAGACAGGTGCGAGGTTTCTCTGTTCAGCTCTGAAGACTGAGGTGTTCCTGGCATGTGCAGAAGCAGTCTTGTAGGTATCTTGGGAAAATTTAAAGTAAAAATGTGGGTGCCTATACATGTGCTTTGAGGTGGGGTGAGAGGGGCGTTTTAATTAGAGCAGCTCCCAAGAGCTGCTCTAATTAAAATGCTGCAGCATCTTGTGTACTCAGCATCTTGTTGCCAGCGGCAGCTGTGGGTGGTCACTGACTCTTGGTTGGCACTCACCATCCTCACCCCCCACCACCAACAGCGCTGGCAGTATCTTGCAGGAGCTCCTCCACTTACTGCTGTCATGCTCCCACCACTGCCACCGTGCTCCTGCCACCGCCGTGGCCCCCCAGCCACCAGGGGTACACACTGTTCATGTATCCTTGAGACTGTCAACACCTTTGTTCCTTTCTCATTTCAGGGTGGCTTTTCCCCTTAATTCAGGCTCTTAAACCTGCCCATTTCCAGGAAGTTTTGGTTTAAGAATTTTAAACTTTCTCTCCACATTTTATTGTAGCCCCATGAAGCAGGTGACTGGATTATTCTCCTTAGAATGCCAAGTGTGCACTCCTGTATATGTTTTGGACCTTGACATTTCAATTTGGGATTATTAGATGCTTAAAATAGCATTTGTAAAGGAATAGATAGAGAAAACAAAGTGAAAATTAGTTCAAACACATTTTTATTTTGTAATTAAAAAAACGAAAATTACTTCCATCATACCTAGGAATTCCAGTTCTGATGCAGATTCACATGAGTTGTTGACCAGTGATTCCAAGCACAATATACTCTCTACTAACAAATCAGACAAAAGATTTACAGTGGGAAGGTAAGGAAGCCACAAAGGAGGTGATGAGAGAGAGAGAGAGAGAGCATAGTAAACAGTTGCCCTTTACATACAATCAAGAGTTTGACGCATATATATGCATGTGTGTGTGTGTGTGTGTGTGTGTGTGTGTATATATATATATATATATATATATATATATATATAATGTTTGCGAGGCAAATGAAAGACTATAGCGTTGAATGTAAGTAGCCTATGGGCAGGGTGATTTTCCTGCAATGGTGTCTCCAACCATTTCCACGTATACTCCTGAAATTCTCACTTTCATACTACAAGTCCTGAAGTTATTTAATTACCTTCATTTTCACCCTGTGAAGAAGCAAGACAAGAAAATTATTAATCTGTTCAACAGAATCTATATAATTGGAAGGGCAGATTCCCAGGGGTGATCACCACATAAAAACTACATAAATATTCCAGTTGAGGAGTTGGGCCTGTGGTGCAGGCAGTTAAGGAACTACCTTTTTGCCTTAAGAATCATATATTTTTCCATTCTAGCTCAAGTACCTGGTGAAAATTAGTTTCAGAGAAGCCCAAGGCTAGGGTGTGGAGGTAGTGTATCACACCATTGAGATGGATATGGGGGATAAAAACTGGATTTGGAAGGTAAGATTTGAGATGCACTGATATATTTTTCAGGAGACTTTACAACCTAGAGGTACACCTAGTTCAAAACCATTTTAGTCTCTTGCTTACATGAGAACTAAAAGGCATACTTAGTCTTTTATCCTGTCTAAATTTCTGTACCAGCCAGTTGAAGTTTCCTGCCTGCTCCAGCTGAAATTGGCCTTCAGAATTTAAAAATGTGTCCTGGTGTTTTGAAACTAGTTTATTTTTTTTCTGTATTTGTTTTTAGTATAGAAAAATCTAATATGCATTCCCTCTTCTAAATTATGGCTCAGACAGACAGAGGAAAGTTATTTCATTAGACCAGCAGTGTAACATGGGTTGAGTAGGGCATGCATCGTTGATTCGGATCACTGTCCCTGATTCGATTCAGCCGAATCCAAATCTGAAGATTCGATGTTGATTCAGAGTATCAGCAATTCGGACATAGACACAACTTTAAAAGGTTTTTCTACATACCTTGAGGTACCAGCACGGCTTGTGAATGCTGTGGTGCCGGGGTGGATGGAGCATCCCACAGGAGTGTGTGTGTGTGTGTGGGGTGGGGGGAGCCATGTGCTTGGTGGTGAATCTGCAAGCGGACCGGAAGTACTTCTGGTCTACTTCTGGGTCTACCGGGGAGTGCGTGGGGGGCCCCCCATGCCCCCGCGGCTTGGTGATTGGCTAAGGGGGGGACCCCAGGTGCCCCCCCCCAGACCCAGGAGGCACCAGTCACCAACCCAGGGGGTTGCAGGGGGAGCCCCAGTGCACTCTCCAGAAGACCCTGAAATGAACCGGAAGTGCTTCTGATCCACTTCCAGGTCTGCTGCTAAGCGTGCTGGGGAGCCCCATATGCTTCTGTGAGACGCTCCATCTGCCCCAGCATCACAGCATTCATGAGTCATCTGGTACCTAGAGGTATGTAGAAAAAACATTTAAAGCTGTCTCTATGTAACAATCTCTGAAGCTTTCTGATTCAATTTGGAGAGATTAAAGTGTCCTCTGATTTGATTCAGATTCAGAGATTCAGCCACTGAATCAGGCCAAATCTCTGCCAAATTGAATCAGGGACCAAAGCTTTGCACAGCTCTAGTAACTGTAGTTTTGTAGAGCAGCAGTTTTTGCTGCCCCCATTTTTTGCTGCTAAGTTCAGCATTTTGTTTTGCCCCTAAACATGGTCTTCAGCAGCAAAAAAATGAGGTGAATGCTTCACCTCTTTGCTGGTAGCAGCAAAATCCACTGCCTTTCTAGAGAACCTCCCAGTCTAGACATAATTCACAGAATGTCTAGCACCACCCAGCTCACTGATTTCTGCTGTTCCTATATCTGCAAGCGAGAACTTAAGCAGAGAGGAAGGGTAAGAGATGCTGCTTGAGGCACATTTTTTCCATGCTACACCTCTGCAGTACACAGTGAAAACTATGTGAGAACATGAACTGTTATATACATAAAAGAGTGATCAATTAAAAAAAACAGCAATTGTTAAGCAATAGCACACACACACACGCACACACACACATATATAGTATAAATATATATATATAAATTAATCTGAATCCTAAGACGTGTCTACATGAGATGCTACATCACCGTAGCGATGAGCTACAGTGATGTAGCTCATTGCTATGGCGACATAGCATTGGTGAGCACTAACTGTGATGCTGCCGCTACATTGCTGTAGCAATGAGCTACACTGCCATAGCTTGTCGTTACAGTGACATAGGGCTGGAGACAACCCGTGTGCAGTCCTAGTGGGTACTGCACAATCATTTAGTACCTGCTAAAGCAAGTACTAAAATGACTACACAGTACCAACTGCACAGTCATGGGTACATGTAGACATGCTCCTAATGAAACAAATGGCAAAAAATCCACTAAAATCAACACATCATAAGAAAGTAGAAGTACTTGTCACACTGCTGAGCAGAGAGGATCAAAAATCGCTTGTGTATAGAAAAGAAATGGAAAACAGATCATCAGAACATAAAAACAGCAGATACTCAGAAACCATGGAAGGATTCTAGAGTTAGCTGGATAACATCAACACTTTACCTTTCCACTTGCCTCCATGGCTTCTTCTGGGGCCTCTTCTTCTGCAGCAGCTGGTTGTTCAGGCTGCTGTGGCTGAGCCAAATCCTCCTGCAGGTTGTATAAAATGCATAGATCCTTACTGGAGAATCATCCACTTAATTTTAAACAGCCTTTTCAAATAGCCTATGAAATGAAACCCAGGATTCCTCCACATAGAAGGAAAATATCAGGTTTGATGTATAGCTTATACTGCTCTGGTTATTTTCTGTATATCCCAGCTTTAAGTGTAAGAACTCTGTCTATTAGACAGTAGACCCGGGAAGGGATTTGAGATGGAAGTTCTTAAAGAGTGAGTAATAAACTCCCTTTCTCTTACACATAAACTTTATTTTTTCTATTCTAATATTATCTACTCTAAAGTGAAAAAAACACACCTGCACCAAAATGGAAGTTTATATGTAAGCAACCTAGGATGACAAAATTGATTTTATTTTTCCCTGAAAGACATTCATATAGACTTCCCATATTTTTCTGTCTTATACTAATCTCTCCTTTCAAGAGAAAGATCATCTGTTAAGAACTTTCAAATTATACAAGTGGCTTCATATGAAGAAATTCATATCACAAGCAACTCTGTATTTGGTGAAGGTATAAGTATTATCATTTCTTATCTTACTGTCAGAATCCATTTTAAATGTGCCATAGCATGTATACAAAGTTAGAATTTATGAGGTAAGGGGAAAAACATTACTCATGGCTGGATGAACATGTGTAGTTATATGATCCTTTTCTTCCTGTTGGAAGAAAATGACTACATCTGTCACTGTATACACTAGTAACTTGTGATTCAGTTGCCCTTGATGAACATGTTGTATAGGGTCCCAACCTAGCCTTCCTCAGGGGCCTTGCATCAATTTTGCATGAAATGTCCAAGAAACTAAAGTTAAATCTCTTATGTGAAGGGAAATGATCCACCCACCTTTTTGACTGTGTGTGTGTATTTGAAAGGGCAAACATTTGTATGTGGAGAGAACTGGCTATTAAAATAACCAAGACTTCATAGTTCAGGGGTGTACTTGGTAGCCATGTTGGTCTGAGACAAAAAGACATACAAAAAAACTAGAACTCTTGGTCATTTTGGAACCAAGAGTTCTAGTTTTTTGTAAGACTTCATAGAACATTAGGGAAGTTCCTCTTAAACCTTACAAATTCCTGATGTTCCTTTTCTAATGCATCACATTGCAGGGTGCATGAAGGGTAACTACTAGTCTATCTAGAAATGCTTTCCATGTTGTTTTATGCTGATAAAGTATGGAACGGACTGGGCTGCACAGAGCAAGCCTTTTGGAGCTGGTACTGTACGAAAATCTTATGTGATGTGTTCTGTTTCAGTGCTTTCTATGCAAACACTTACTGTTTTCTCCAATTATTCTCATATCATCTTTTCTTCCCTAATTTGATATGAAAGACAATCTCAGGAATAATTTTTTATGCCCTCCTGGTGAGAACAATGTTACTCGTATAGGAAACAAAGTATGTCTGTGTCTTCTGCTCATAATCTGCCTGGCATTATTGGCCGGAAGTATTACTGCTATTATCAGACTGATCCATGCTTGCTGAACAAGCTTGATGATCTAATGATACTGCATCATGCAAACATGGAGTTCTTCAATTACTTGTCTTAGATTCTCTAAATTAAATGGGGCAAGGAATAGTAGAAAGGTGGCATTGCTCTGACCAAATTACTCAATTTGGGTGTTGGTGGTAGCAAGCTGGGTGGTGGTGCTAGCAAATAGCTGGGGTTTTCCTTGGGACTTTTTGCCTTTTCTTTGGAAATTTGAGCACAGGCCAAGACCAGCCACTGTCCCGCCAAAGGTCACTCTGGGGTAGAGGGCCAAACAATACCACAACAGGCAGCACTGCGACCTGGCTGCAGAAGGATTTTGTGAGTACCATCTGGAGAGGCTAGGCTGGAGTAAAGGGGTGGGTTGGAGCCCCACAGAAGAAACAGGGATTGAGACCAGGCAGGATCACTACAAGCAGTGCCTCCTAGGAATATATTTCATCAAAGTCGTGGCAGGTGAGAAAAACATAAGACCAACTTCCTGGCAGACCAGGTAATCCAAAGCCAAGGTCCACCCTGTTGCCACCCATAGGCAGATGAGCTCAGGGCAGTGGTAGGAAGCCCTACAACACTTACAGCCATTACAAATATAGACATTGGAATTCTGACACACTACAACCTGCCAGACATCAGACTCCCCAGGTACCTCTCCACTTTTATCTGCACTGCTACATCCCCGATCCCCCCCACCCCTGCAACTGCAGCCTGTCCCTCACTCCCTGACGCCTCCATTTCTATTTTCACTGACTGGTTTTCTTGCCTGCACTGAATGCCAGCCTCTGGCTTCTTTACTATTCCTTCCATTCAGGAACAGCACACACACCAACTGCAAGTGCATCCTCACCCTGACAAAGGGTTTTTCAACCCAAAAGCTGGCATCTCAGGCAGCTAAGCTGAGCTGGCCTGGAGCCTCACAACTCCACTACAACCAGCAAGCCTCAGGCCTGTCAAAGATGTGTGCATGCATGGTGGCTGGAAGTTATGGCGCCTTCTACCCATCTTTCACCAGGGGGATCCTCAGTCCTGGCATATCCTGGGCCACTGGCAGTCTCACCAGGCCTCCCGACCCTGGCAGAGTGAAGTTTTAGTGATCATGCCCAAGACCTGGGGTCTCCTCCTTCCCCATAGCCCTAGCCCATACCTCCAAGTTCATCCTGGCATGGGAGCTCAGCAGGGATATGTTCTTCCCTTGTTGGCTGGTGATGCAGTGAGTGCCTTCTCCAGCTCTGAGAGAGGGGCATTAAATGGTTTTAGAAAAAAATGAAAAAAGGAAATAGGTGTGGATGGAGTGAGGAGGGTGGCATTCACTCTATCTACACATGAAAATTGAGGAACCCCAGCAGTGGGAGGTTCACCTTCAGGAACACCAGCTGCTCCACCAAACCAGGATCCAAAGAGGTGCAGTGGGGTGTTACTACATCACCAGGAATGCTGGACACCCTCTCACTTGGAATACTGGCTGGTGAACAGGACAGGTGTTCCTGGGAAACTGTGGCCAGATCTGGCCACATCTGGCTGTGGCTTGCCCAGTAGGCCAAGGGGCACACAGCAGCAGCTCCACATCCTCAGTGACATAGGCAGCCACCAGGCCTGAGTGCTACCTGCATCATGTTAGGGTCTGGTGCCTCTGGATCTCACCATGGAAGCTATGCCCTGTTGTTTGCCAGGCTTTTGTTGTTTGCTACCACCACCACCCAGCTTGCTACCACCAACACCCAAGTTGAATAATTTGGTCAGAGCAATGCCACCTTTCTACCATTCCTTGCCCCATTTAGTTTAGAGAATCTAAGACAAGTAATTGAAGAACTCCATTTTTTGCATGATGCAGTATCATTAGATACTTGGCCTACACTGGCAGCGCCTGTGGTGGAGAAGGAGACGGGCTGATGGATGGCATGCTGGCATAGGACAGTGGATCCCCCTCTTCCACATTCCCCCACCTCTCCTGTTCTGCCTTCCTGACTCTTCACCAGCACCTCCATCCACTGATTCGGGCTTTGGCTGCTACATACGCTCCCCTTCACCCTCGGGTCACACATGGCGGCCAGTACAGGGACCGTACTGGATCGCAAGGAACCAAGCCATTTCCTGATGCCCTCCTTCAGCCATCTCACCAGTGCCTGCACATCTGGTGACAGCGGCTTGCCCCAGCCAGGAACATTGATCCCCTGGAAGCTCTCCATTTGGCTCTGAAGTTTCCTCGCTATAGGGATCACCTGGCTAAGGAGTGCATTGCCAGCCCTGAGGGTCTCAGTGGCATCAAGGAAGGGCTTGAAGACCACCAAGATCTGGGAGATGGCATTCCACTCAGCTCTGTTAAGGGGGCTGCTGATCCCAATCTCCCCAAGCAAGGCCATCTCATGGATGGCCTTCTGTTGCTCCACTAGCCTCTTGAGCATCAGGTATGTGGAGTTCCACCAAGTCTCCACATCCTGCATGATTTTGTGCTGTGGGATGTTCAGCTCTGCCTGTTTGTCCTGCAGTATCTTGCCTCCCTTGATGCTCTGGTGGAAGTAGCCTGCCACCTTCCTGCATTTGGAAATGAGTTTGCTGGTGGCGCTGGCATCATCACCACAAGCCCTGTCCCCCTCCAAGGTGTCCCTGACAATGAGGTACAACTTGTGTGCCACATAGTGGATGCCAACAAAATTGGCATCACAGACCACCCTAACCATATTGGCCCCACTGTTGGTGACCATGAACCCGCAGGTAAGCTCACCCTGGCCAACGAGCCACCCCTGAACCAAGCGGTTTATGGCCCTCATGATCTGTGTTGCCGTGTGGGACTCATCCATTACCTCGGCTTGAAGGAGAGCCCACCAATGGCCTGACTGGTCACACCAGTGCCCTGTGAGGGAGAAGTATGCATGATCTTCATCCCAGCTGTTCCAGATGTCTGAGGTGAAGAGTAAGGCTTTGCACATCTCCTCCCTCAAGTACTCCTTGCATGCCTCATACAGGGAGGGC